GATCTTTAGCTGGCCACAATGGTGAAACCCCGATCTTATTAAAAAATACAAAAATTTAGTTTGGGTATAGTGGCAGGCACCTGTAATTCCAGCTACTTGGGAGGCTGAGGCACCAGAATAGCTTAAACCCAGGAGGCAGAGGTTGCAGTGGGCCAAGATTACACCATTGCACTTCAGTCTGGGCAACAGAGCAAAACTCTGTCAAAAAAAAAAAAAAAAAAAATTAAGTGCCATTTATAACAAACCCACAGCCAACATAATACTGAATAGGCAAAAGCTTGAAGCATTCCCCTTGAGAACTGAAACAAGACAAGAATGTCCACTGTCACCACTTCTATTGAACATAGTACTGGAAGTCCTAGCCAGAGCAATCACACAAGAGAAAGAAATAAATGGCATCCAAATAGGAAGAGAGGAAGTCAAACTATCTCTTTTCATGGATGATGTGATTCTATATCTAAAAAACCCCATAGTCTCATTCTAGAAGCTCCTTACACTGATAAATAACTTCAGTAACGTTTTAGGATACAAAATCAACATACCAAAATCAGTAACAATGTCCAAGCTGGGAGCCAAGTCAAGAACATAATCCCAATCACAATAGCCACAAAAAGAATAAAATGTGAATACAGCTAATCAGGGAAATGAAAGATCTCTACAATGAGAACTTTAAAACACTGCTCAAAGAAATCAGAGATGATACAAATGGAAAAACATTCCATGTTCGTGGATAGGAAGAATCAATATCATTAAAATGGCCATACTCTCCAAATCAATTTACAGATTCAATGCTATTCCTATCAAACTACAAATGACAACTGACATAGAATTAGAAAAACTATTTTAAAATTCATATGAAACCCAAAAGAAGCCTGAATAGCCAAGGCAATCCTAAACAAAAAGAGCAAAGTTGGAGGCATTACTTGACTTCAAACTATACTACAAGTTTACAGTAACCAAAATAGCATGGTATTGGTACAAAAACAGATATGTAGACCAATGGAACAGGTTAGAGAACCCAGAAATAAAGTTGAACACCTACAATCATTTGATTTTCAACAAAATTGACAATAACAAGCAACGGGGAAAGGACTGTCTATTCAATAATTGGTGCTGAGATAACTGGCTAGCCATATGTAGAAGATTGAAACTGGACTCCTTCTTTTTACCATATACAAAAATTAACTCAAGATGGATTAAAGACTTAAATGTATAACCTACAACTGTAAAAACCCTAAAAGAAAACCTAGGAAATACCATTCTAGACATAGGACCTGGCAAAACTTTCATGATAAAGATGCCAAAAGTAATTGCAACAACAACAACAAAAAGTTGATAAGTGGAACCTAATTAAATTAAAGAGCTTTTGAATAGCAAAAGAAACTATTAGAGTAAGCAGACAACCTAAAAATAAGAGAAAATATTTTCAAATTATGCATTTGACAAAGATCTAATATCCAAAATCTATAAGAAACTTAAGCAAACAAGCAAAAACCAAACAACGCCATTAAAAAGTAAGCAAAGGGCGACAGAGCAAGACTCCCTCTCAAAAAAAAAAAAAAAAAAAAAAAAGTAAGCAAAGTACAAGAACAAACACTTCTCAAAAGGCATACATGCATCCAAAAAGCATATGAAAAATGGTCAATATCAATAATCATTAGAGAAATGAAAATCAAAACCATGATGAGATACCATCTTACACCAGTCAGAATGGCTATTATTTAAAAGTCAAAAAATAACAGATGTTAGTGAGGTTGTAGAGAAAGAGAATGCACATACACCACTGGTGGGAATGTAAATTAATTCAGCCATTGTGGAAAGCAATGTGACAATTTCTCAAACAACTGAAAACAGAACTGTGATTTGACTTACAAATCCTATTACTAGGTATATACTCAAAGGAATATAAATTGTTCTATCAAAAAGACACAAGTACACGTATTTCATTGTGGCACCATTCACAATAACAAAGACATGGAATCTAGATGCCCATAAGAGGTGAACCGAATAAAGAAAATGTGGTACATATACACCATGGAATACTATGCAGCCATGGAAAAGAATGAAATAATGTGCTTTGCAGCAATGTGAATGCAGGTGAAGGCCATTATCCTAAGTAAATTAACACAGGAACAGAAAACCAAATATCACATGCTCTCACTTATAAGTGGGGGCTAAACATTGAGTTTACAGGGACACAAAGAGGGGAACAATAGATACTGGGGCATACTTGAGGAAGGAGGCTGGGAGGAGAGTGAGGATTGAAAAACTACCTATTGGGTATTGTGCTCATTACCTGGATGACAAAATCATTTGTAAGCCAAATCTCCATGATATACAATTTACTTATGTAACAAGCCTGCACGTGTACCCCCTGAATCTAAAATAAAAGTTGGAAGGGGAATAAAATCAACCAGAATATGACCCAGGATTCCTGGATTTAAAGTCTAGTCTTCTCCACTACACTTATTCCTTCTCCGAAAAACAAAAACAAAAAACAAACAAACAAAAAACATGTTTGTTTTTAAAGTATATTCTCTGACTTCTTATCTATGTTTAATAACTAGGACTGCCTAATAGTTCTTTAGGATGTCATTTACTAGCCACTTTAAAAAATACCATTATTTGGATCATTAAATATGTAAGTAAGAAGTATCATTTTTAGGAAGTAGTAGTATCTGCCAGGGCACACCATTCCCTAGCAAATAGTACTACTTTCGATCTGGTGTGTCACCAGATCTATGAAAACTTTAAGAGAAAGTTTTATATTAAAGGGAAATGTATATTGTTGTTATTGTTATTTTATTCCCAAGTGTGTGAGGAAATCCAATAATGATTTTGGCTTCTTGCCGATAGACTGAGCTTAAACTGAAAAAGTAGTCTTCAATGATACTTGGGTTTTTCAAATCTAGGATGTAGAAATTTGGGGAAAAAAAATTTTTTTTTCTTTCTTTTTTCTTTTACCTTTAAAAATAAAGTCAGGGTCTCACTATGTTGTGAAGGCTGATCTTGAACTCCTGGGCTCAAGTGATTCTCTTGCTTCAGCTTCTCAAAAGTGCTGGGATTACATGCTTGAGCCACCATGCCCAGCCAAAAAATTTTTAATGTGGGAATTTTTAATGTCACCATAACAACTACTATAACAACTATAATAATGAAAATGTATAACTCAGTTCTAACTCTTGTGAAATATCTGACTTTTCTCCACAGCTGCTATAGTTAGATGTACGTGGCAGGAGTGGAGTGGGGATATGCCACACACACACTATTTCAGAATACGGTTGTCTCTTGTGAGGAAACAGTGGTGACTAGATGTACTTAGTTCATATAGTTTTTCCAACGGCCCCCTCACCCCAACCTCCACCAAAAGATACTATATTCTCAATGGCTATGGCAAAGCATTCTAGAGTGGCCTCTGGCCCAGTTTTAGTCACATGCCTATCTCTCATACAATCACTGTAGCCTGAAGAATGGAGGACGAACTGGCCAGACCTGGTTACCTGGACCAGAGATTGTGTTGAATCAACACAAGAAAGAAGCAGTAAGGGAAAATTTGTTGAGAGTTTATAGAGTACTACAGTCACTAGTTATTTGTAACAGACTGACTCCTTTTTAACATCATACTTCAAATGTCTTTCATGCATTGGTCTCAATGCTCCTTGAAGAGTCTGCTGATTCCCAAATATTGATAATGCCACTGAGCCCAGATTTGTGCCTAGGAGAAAGGATATTTATCCTATCCGACATTTTGCTTGAAAAGGTCACATTCTGAGATCAAATGCTGACTAGAAAGATGATCCCCCATGGAAAAAAGAACCCTCTTCCTCTAGAATCTTTTCTTATTTTCCCAAACGTGCAAGTCAGAAATACAATCATTGTTTTTTCGATTCACAATTCATATTAGTGCACAAAAGTGGTTTCAAGTATTTTTAACATTTTAATGTTTATATACCATTAAGTGTAAACTAATTGTACACTTGTAGCATTTAAAGAACTTGCTCAACAGCTGATAGTTAATGTTACTTCTATAATGTAATTTTCTGTAAAAACTTTTTTCTCTCTCTTTTATTGCATTTAGCTTACACCTCCTTTATACAACATTACTAAGATGGAAGTTCCAACAGCAATATGGAATGGTGGACAGGACATTGTGGCTGATCCCAAGGATGTCAAAAATTTACTTCCTCAAATTGCCAACCTTATTTATTACAAGCTAATTCCACACTACAATCATGTGGATTTTTACCTTGGAAAGGATGCACCTCAGGAAATTTATCAAGACCTAATTAGATTGATGGAGGCATATTTAAAAAATTAAATGTACTTTCCTTTCTCTAAGCAAGTGGATTTTCATAACAATAATGAGATGAACAGACACTAGAATGATCCCCAGTGATTTCCATCTTCTAGTATCTATGCCTTTGTATAATCTCCTCCTCTTCAACGTGGGTGGGATATGAGACTTTGTTCAAGTCAACAGAACTGGCAAAGGTGTAAGATGTCACACCCTTGATTAGGTTATGTCATATGGCAAAGGTGATAAGATGTCAATCCTGATTACATTATACAAGAAGTCGGCCAGGCTTGGTGGCTCATGCCTGTAATCCCAGGACTTTGGGAGGCTGAGGCTGGAGGAGCACTTGAGGTCAGGAGTTCCAGGCCAGCCTGGCCAACATGGTGAAACCCTGTCTTTACTAATAATACAAAAATTAGCTGAATATGGTGGCACACACCTGTAATCCCAGCTTCTTGTAAGGCTGAGGCAGGGGAATCACTTAAACCCGGGAGGCAGAGGTTGCAGTGAGCAAAGATCACGCCACTGCACGTCATCTTAGCAGATTGGAGCAAACTATTCTCCTTCTTAGCTTGATGGAATAAACAGATATGTTGAGAAAACTGCCTTACAAGGAACTGAGCATAGCTTTTAGAACCTGAGGGTGGCCTCCAGCTGATAAAACAGCAAAATACCAAGGCCTTCAGTCACATGACCACAAGAAAATGAACTCTGCCCAAACCTGAATAAACTTGGAAGCCCATTCTTCCCTAGTAACCCTCCATTGCGTGAGCATCCTGGTCAACACCTTGATGGTAACCTGGGGAGATCCTGAGCAGAGGACCCAGTTATACCATGTCTGGACTACTGACCCACAGAAACGTGAGATAATAAATGTATATTGTTTTAAACTGCTAAGTTTGTGGTAATTTGTTATCAGCAATAGTAAACTACTACTACTATTTATTATTGTATAACAATTACATGAATTATGTATTTGATTATATTAATCATATAACATGGTATATAATTTATAATTATATTATATATAATATATTAAAATATAATTATGATGTATTAAAGATTAGATAACAATGTATAATAAATATGTAATATACTGCATATATGTTACTGTTATAATAAAATTATATATAATATTAATATAAGATGGTAATTATTATTCTGTCTCTTTGGTTAAAAGTTTGATAGATCTAAATTCTTGAGTAAATATATTTTTAAAAATATTTTCACATATTTTCTGCTAATTCAGTAACCTCTGTCATTGGAGAATTTGTTCTATAGATTGATTTTTCTCCTGGTTATGGGTCCTGCCTTATTGCATGCTTAATAATTTTATATTGAATGCCAGACATTGAATTTTGCATTGCTGATTGCTGAATTTGTTTTTATTTCTTTATATAGGGTTGGAAAACAATCACCCAGGCATAGAGTCAATGATCAATGAATATATGTTTGGTGACTGGGAGTGTCAAGTGTTATGAAGCACTTGATTGGGCCCTGCAGAAATTGGGGTATTTTACAACATGTAATTAATATAAACTTGGCTAAGACTCATTTATGAAGAATTTCCTGGCATAAATAAGGGGGCTGTAGACATGATGGGGAGGGTACTAAAGGATATCGGAGTCTTGGCAGGGGAAGGCTGGCTGGCAGGGCACCAAAGGCTTCACAGGGAGACACCTCTTTGGTGACTATGGCATATCAGACTGGCATATCCTGACACTGATCTTGTCACTGCCCCAGAAATGACTGCACTTACACATGCTGATTCATGCAACTGAAATGTACAAGGAGATGCAGAACATAAAACAAAACACATGTTTATAATTTTTATCAAAAACTGTAATTTGGCCAGACTAGTGTTTTCTTTTCCTGTAATAAAACACATGGGAAATTCTAGTATGAAACTGTTGCTTGGTGTACATGGAAAAAAAGAAGTATATGGCTTGACAAAAATCATCATCCCCTCCACAATCATTCAAGTTCGCTGAGCCTTTTCCATAAGGAAATAATAGTGTAAGCATTTTACATGAATTGTATCATTTAATCTTCATGATAGCCTTATAACCTGGCATCATTCTTATCTCTTCTTTACAGATTAGGAAACTGAAGTTTAGAGATACTGGGCAACTTGCTCTAAAATATTAGTTCTCTGAACTCTGAAACCTTGACTTTAGGTAATCAAGCTCTTAACCTTTATGCTTTAATGTTATAAGTATGTATTATAAACTAGCCATTCAGAACAAGAAGAATGATAAGGAAAACTCTGTTCCTGCCCAAGTGGCGCTCAGAGTAATAAAAATATCAGATACTATACAGCTATAGTTTGAGTATCCTCTATCCAGTTTGCTTTTGACCAGACATATTTTGGATTTTGGAGTATTTGCATATCATAATAAGATATGTTAGGGATGGAATCCAAGTCTAAACATAAAATTCACTTATGTTGCATATACACTTTATACAAATAGGCTGAAAGAAAGTTTGTATGGCATCTTAAATAATTTTGTGCATGAAACAGAAGTTTTGACTGTGTTTTGAGTGTTACCTATCATATGAGGTCAGATTTTCATTTGTGGCATTTCAGTGCTCAAAAAGTTTTAGATTTTAGAGGATTTCAGATTTGGGATTTTTGGATTAGGAATGTTCAACCTACACTAATTTACATACTTAAACCTTTAATTTTAATTTAATGATTGTGATGAATCCATCAAAAAGTATACCTCACCAGGGTGGACAGAGAAGTCTTCTCTGAAGACATGAAATTTTGGCTGATATCCATGACATCTGCCAGATAATACAGGTAGGGGACCACCTCAGGTGGCGAGGAGCTAGGCTAAATTAAGAAATTAAAGAAGCCCAAGGAGTCAAAGAGAGAATGGGGTGAGATGAGCTCACAGGGATAAGCAGAGTCTGGTTTTAGGCCCTCCTAGCCACTCGCAGGATTTTGAAAACAAAATCATTGAAGTCTTATTCTCAAGAATACTTAAAAGATAAGATCACATATGTGATTTTAAATGATGATAATAGCTATGATGTGAAGAAAAAAGAACTTCCTGAGACTGGGTAATTTATAAAGGAAAGGTGTTAGTTGACTCACAGTTCTGCAAGGCTGGGGAGGCCTACAGAAACTTACACTCATGGTGGAAGGGGAAACAAACACATCTTACATGGTGACAGACAAGAGAGAAGTGCAAGCAGGGGAAACGATAGACGCTTATGAAACCATCAGATCTCATAAGAACTCACTCAATATCATGAGATCAGCATGACGGACACCACCCCCATGATCCAATAACCTCATACCAGGTCTCTCCCTTGAGATGAGATTTGGGTGGAGACACAGCCAAATCGTATCAGAAAATATTTCACTAATAATGATATTGACTATATGTGGAAATAATATTTTGAACATATTGGTTTAAATAAAATGTATTTTTAAATTTTATTTCACCTTTTATACTTTTTAAAAATGTGGGCATTAGAAAATTTAAATTAAATACCTAATTCGCATTATATTTCTATTGGACCATGCTAAGATAGTGAAAAGAGTAAGTTAACTATCCCCTAAAAATTCTGGTTATTTCTAGGAAAATGCAATAACTCTGCATTTACAAGATTTTTTTTAATGTATGGAAAAATGCAAGAATGCAGACTGTGTAAAAGATATCAGATTGTGCTATGGTGGTTACTAGGTTTAAGAATAATTTGGAGGCTGAAGAAGAGAAAAACTGGTATCAGGTAGCAATTTTTAAATTGTATTCGTGTGCTTTGCAATCTGTAAATAGCAATGTATCTCTTCCAATTTAGTTAAAAAACAGGACAAGATTGAATTTTTCTGTGAATTTCCTGTTTTCTATTAAATTTAGCAGGTAATGTTAAGAAAAATTTCCTTTGTAACAGCAAAGAAAGCCAGTGGAATTTATAGCCAAGTTGGTAGCATATCAAAGCAAAATACCTGATACATAGTAAGTACTTAATAAATAATAAATAATTCACTATTATTATTTATAATAACATTATTAGTATTCCTCAGTAACTAAGCTGCATTCTCTGGACTTCCAGAATCATCTATTCAATCACTCATTTACTCACTTAGCAAAAATTTTTGATGGTGATGGTGATTAGAGGAGGAATGAAATCAAGAAACTCTAACCCTAAAAACCATTTATCTATTTTCAGGGGTGTTGGTGAGATTTGAAGGTGATTTAATAGTAACTCAAAATAGAATATTAACTCAGGAAGAAAACAGGAGCATATATCAAAACAACAATGTTGCCTCTTTGCACATTCCAATCACCATTTATTTACTCTTGCAAGTTGAATGAGACAACTTAAAACTAGATCCAACTTGAATGTCTAGCTAAGTGTCCTGTCTTTTTTTTTTTTTTAAAGAATCTACATTTGAATATACCTCCTACAGAAATTCAAATACAAAATGAGCTCTAGAGAATACCATACATACATGCTATACATTAAGCAGGAAGTAAGGATGGTAAATCTGCCTGGGGCAGGAAAATGATATAATTTTCTTCATATTCAATGGTATGGCCCTTCCTCTTCATTCTCACAAAGATTTGACCTTTGTCACAAATGTGGATGGTCCTGATCCTGCCACTCCAGAACATGGATGTTATCAAGGACAGCTGCCAGCACTCTTGGTAATAATTTCTCTTTAAATGTAAGTGATCTTTCCTTTGAACACTTTGAGTTGGGATGGATGTGTGCTCAGTCAACTATTATGGCCTCTTCAAAAACCTTTAATATTTTAGTTAACTATGATTGATAGGCCTTTTTGTCACTTCTCTCTTCTCTCTATCATAGCCATTAGTGTTTTTAAAGATGGATGTAGTATAGATGGCACTGAAACAGAGATTCATTTTCACTGACGCTAAAAGAAAGCACGTTCTAGTCTAACACGTAATCTCAAAAACAACAGTTTCTTGTGGAAATTATGAACATTGCCAACATTGCTTTATGAGTAAAGAGATGAAACTTTAAAATATAACATATTTTCTCTTAAG